CTCAATCAACTGATTACTCAAGATATGGTTACTAGAGTTCCAAGTCTTAAGATGCATGAAAAACTTTTTGAAGGTTGTTTAGTAGGAAAGCAATCCAGAAATTCTTTCATTTCGAATATGCCAATGAGATCATCTTGCATACTCGAAGTGGTACATTCATGTGTATGTGGTCCATTCGAAGAAAATACAATTGGTGGAAACAAATATTTTGTTTCGTTTGTCTATGATTTTAGTCGAAAGTTGTGAATCTATGTGATCAAACGAAAGGACGAAGTATTCAAAATCTTTAAGAGGTTCAAGATACTTATCGAAAACCAGAGTTTGAAGATTTCTATGTAGAACATGGCGTTGATCATGAGGTAACTGCTCCTTATACACCTCAACATAATGGAATTGCTGAAAGAAGAAACAGAACCATATTAAATATGGCGAGATGCATGCTGGAATAAAAAAAATTTACCAAAGTCTTTATGGGGAGAAATTGTTTCGACTGCGGTTTATATTTTGAATAGATGTCCTACCAAGATATTGAAGAACAAAGTTCCTGAAGAAGTATGGAGTGGAAAATGACCATCAGTGAGTCATTTGAAGGTGTTTGGCTTTATGTGTTACAAGTATGTTCCTGATGCAAGAAGAAGGAAGCTTGATGACAAGAGTGAACCTATGATTTTGGTAGGATATCACAAAATTGGTTCATATAGACTATTCAATCTAGTTAATGAGAAGATTGTGTTGAGTCGAGATATTGTGATTAATGAAAATTCTGCCTGGGATTGGAATTCTAGCAATTCAATTAACAAGCCATTGATGAGTTCGACTATCGATGAAGAAATTGATGAAGTAGAGGTCGAAGGAATTGTTGAGAATCCAGTCGAAGTCAAAGAAGAAGCAGTTGCTGACATTCCCGATACAGTCAAATTCGAAGAGGCTGTGGCTGAAACAAGCCAAAGACCTCAAAGAAATAGAGTTCTTCCAACAAGACTTCATGATTATGAAGTGGTGGGGGATGATGAAGCCACACCAGATGGAGAATTAGTTCATTTTGCTATACTTGCAGGTGCTGAACCAATTAAATATAGTGAAGCTTTGAAGACTAAACAGTGGAAGTTAGCTATGGTCGAAGAGTTACAGACAATCGAAAGAAACAATACATGGGAGTTAGTCAAATTGCCAGCATAAACAAAAGCTATCAAAGTAAAGTGGGTATTCAAGTTGAAACATAATGTTGATGGCTCGATAGCAAGAAATAAAGAAAGATTAGTAGCTCGAGGGTTTCTTCAAAGATAAGGACTTGACTAATCTGAAGTATTTGCTCCAGTAGCAATATTGGAGATTGTTCGACTAGTGGTAGCATTGGCATGCAACCAAGGCTGGTCGACATTTCATTTAGATGTGAAATCATGATTTCTGAATGGTCCTTTAGACGAAGAGGTCTATGTCACACAACCTCCAGGATTTGTGATTCAGAAGGAAGCGAGTAAAGTATATAAGTTGCACAAAGCACTTTATGGCCTTAAGCAGGCACCTAGGACATGGAACAAGAAGATCGACTTATACTTAGTCGAATTAGGATTTATCAAATGCAAATCTGAGTATGGTGTCTATGTTCAGGTTGTAGCACAACATATAAGAAACATATACTTATATGTCGATGACTTTCTAGTGACTAGAAATAGCTTGGAGAACTTGTCGAAGTTCAAAGAACTGATGATGAAGGAATTTGAAATGTCTGATCTAGGCAAATTGTCTTATTTCCTAGGTATGGAATGTAAAATATCGAAGTAAGGTATAGTGCTACATCAAAGGAAGTATGTCAAAGAAATACTCAAGAGATTCAATATGGATGATACGAATCCTGCATCCTCACATGTAGAACCAAATGTAAAATTGGAGAAGAATGAAGAGGAAGACAAAGTCGATGTAACTTTGTTCAAGCAAATATTGGGATCTCTGAGGTATGTGTGCAACAGTCGACCTAATATAGGTTTCGTTGTAGGGTTAGTCAGCAGATATGTGAGTGAACCAAGAGTGTCACATATGAAGGATGCAAGAAGAATCCTGAGATATTTGAAGGGTTCGATAAAGTGTGGAATACTACTTTGACGATATTCTGAAGACAAAGAAGAAATAGTTAATTGTTTCTCAAATGCTGGTTGGTGTGGAGATAAGGAAGATTGAAGAAGAACAACTCGATATTTCCTTCAAGTATTTGGTGCCACAATCTCATGGTGTTCAAAGAAACAACTTGTGGTGACATTATCATCTTGTGAAGCTGAATATATAACAGGATCCTATGTTGCATGTCAAGCAATTTGGATCAGATATGTACTTGAAGAAATAAAGGTCGAAGTGAAGAAACCTCTTGTATTGCAAATCGATAACAAGTCAGCTATAAATCTGGCAAAGAATCCAGTTCTACATGGAAGAAATAAAAATATTGAAGAAATGTTTCACTTCTTGAGGGAAAAGGTAAATTGAGGCGAACTTGAAGTAATGCATTGCTCGAGTGAAGCACAGTTGGACGACATTTTCACCAAAGGATTGAAGATCAACGAATTCCAGAATTTGACAAAGAAATTAGGAATAGTTTAGATCGACTATGACTAGCGTATGTTCGACAACTTGGATTATGAGGGTGTGTTGAAATATTAAATTAGATTTGTTAAAATATTAGATTAGATTAGATTTAATATTTAAATATAATCCAAGTTGTGTAGACCCAAGCCCAATTAGGATTGTATATAAATAGTCCTAGATTGTATCATTATTTGTACAATTCAATAATACAAATCCTTATTTTCTTTATTATTCTCTCCTCACTAAAAGTGCCTCATGCACTAACATATTTAAGGTGTTTTTGTATGATACGTAAATTTATCAGAAATCAATAATCTTTTTAATAGGACGGAGGAAAAAAAAGGAGATATTCTCAAAAACTAAAAAGATATCATTAAGGAAAAAAAACAAAAATAGAAGATGGAGAATAGTCTAGGTTCACTGCTCCTCTATAGAAAATCAATGCTACTCCTTGGCATGTTAATGATGATTGGGGAAGCGTTTAGGCGGAGGATTATTATTGTGCGGGTATTTGGAGGAATAAGGAGAAGTTTAAGGAAGACTTTTTTAGACCAGACAAATAAGAGTTGGTGATCAAGCAGAGGATGATGTAGTATAGATAAAGTGATGAAGATTGGTGTGGAGAGACATCAAGTTCTTGCTAATATTTGTTGGACTCCTCCTAGTATGGAACAAATTTGTCTCAACATAGGTGGGGCTTGTATGAATGGAATTATAGGTTGTGGAGGAGTTATTAGAGGGTGTGAAGGTGAATGACTTTTCGGTTTTTCTAAATTGATAAGTAGAAAAGATGTGTAAATAGCGGAGCTTTGGGGTCTTTTGGAAGGCTTCAAGTTAGCTAGGAGGATGAATTTTGATAAAGTAGATGTGACATTAGATTCTTTGGAAGTGATTAATACTGTCATGAATGGCAATACAAGTGATTCTCAAGGAATTTTGATTGCTGCTAATATTCGTAGGATGTTGGATTTGGAGTGGGAAGTCATTGTCAAGCATTTGTATCGAGAGGTCAATTGCTTAGTTGATGCCCTTGCGAAACACAGTTATTCGAGGAGGAAATCTTATTGCTGGTCTAAAGTTTGTTCAGAAGATTTCAGACAGATTTTAGATGCTGATGAGAAGGGTTTAACAACCCCTAAATTTATTTCCGTGTATTTTTCTTTTTCGTTCGGGCGAAATCCCTCTTTGTTATAAAAATTTGATTCATATACGCATATAAACAGAAAATGGGTTAATAATAAGAGAATAATAAGGATTAATGGAGGTGGACCAAATCTTGCATACGATAGAGAGAATTAACAAATCGAAATTTATTTCAAATAATAATAATAATAATAATAATAATAATAATAATAATAATAATAATAGTAATAATAGTAATAATGTTCGAAGTCGATCAAAGGTCCAAAGAACTAAGGTCTAAATTGATCTCAATCTACTCCAAATGACCCAATGTATAAAGCCATATTAAGAGATATTCAAGATATATTTTATGATCTCCACTTTCATTACACTCGTTTTGAATTTTAAACTTATTGGGGATTGGGTTCTAATTTTACAGGTCCACCCCCTACGCCGCCCTATCAAAAATCAACACCACAAATCCAAGATTCCTCACTATCAATGAACTCATTATTCTAGTTTCACAATAGAGAAGTGGTGCCGCTGTCGTAACAGGAAAAAAGTAACGAGCCGCCACCACTACTTTTTGTCCTAACGACGGGTGAATAATGGAATAACCCTAAATTGATACAGAGATTCTAAGCTCTTGATTCACTTTAGACCAATAATTATTTATTAATGAATTTTATGCAAAAAATGTATTTTAATGCAAGATGCTAAAAGATAATACGTGACAATAAAAATAAGTAAAATAAGTAAAATTAATAAAATAATTTAATTTAGTTAAAAGAGGGTGTAAAAATTAGGATGGGTGGTGTATTAGAAAAATATCTAGGCCCAAATGTAAATTTGTATTCAAATAGGTTGGGTGTACATTTTGTAACTAGATAGTAAAATAGGGGGTCTGGAAAGTAAGGGCCCAAGTTCAGATATTGAACTGGGCCCAAAATGCATGTGGGGTGTTGTTTTTAGTAGGTAGTAAATCCTAGGGGTGTTGGTAGCACGGGCTTGAGCCTATAATTTGGTATAGGAAACCTAGTGCGTGAGGGGTGCAAGTTGTTGTAACAAGAGTAAAATAAAAACGGGGGGGGGGGGTTAACAATGATGGGCTTAGGCCTAAGAAAAAATTATGAAGTTTGTTTGATCTCATGTGTGCACATGCCTAGGCTTATCATGGGCTTGTGAGATTTAGACATCTAATTTTGATCAGATGGCTAAGAACAGAGGATTTACTGGAGGTACATAGTAAGGGAGACGCACCGGAACACAGAGGGATTATATTTTCGTTTTTCTTTCATTTTGTTCCCTCTCTCTTCGTCTCCTACTTCTCTCCTTCTTCCTCAACATAACAATGACACCCTCATTAACCCCGGCCTAGAAAACCCCAAACGGAGGTGGTCAGAAGTGGCGGCGACCTTAAATACCCTCAACCCTAAACTCAATTTTAGAACCACAACAATAATAGCATTAATCAAAATGAAAACAAAACCTAAGCTAAGTATTTTGAGGGATACCGTCTGTGCCGTGAATCTTGATTTTTGTGCTTCTGATTCTTTTGGTTCCCTCGATCTAATCCTTCTCCTTCTTCTGATTCGCATGTGTTGAAGATGGTGAAACGGAAAAGGTTTTGATAGATCTAGGGTTTCAGTTATGAAACCCATATCTCATATGGAAGCAGCCTTGATCAGAGATTCAAGAAACAAAGCTTCGGAACCCTTCTTCTTCTCCTCTTCTTCTTTTTATCTTGTAATTTTCCGGTCCCCAATCCAATTTAGAGTTAGGGTTTTTATAGTGTTTTAGGTTAAAGATGAATTAGGAAATAATATTGTAGATTAGTAGTTACAAATCTATGATTGGAAATTAGGGATTTTATTAGAATCTGATTATGATTTTGTTTGTAAATTAGTCTGTAATTGATTATGATTTTGTGTATAATTCAATGAAGTTTGATTTGATTATTTTGTTCAATGCTTGATTCGATTATTGTTTCTGGATATTTGATTCGTTTTGATTTGTTTTAGTTTCGGTGTCTCTGGGCCTTGATAGCTTAAGATGAAGAACAGGGGCCGCCGTTGGGAAAATTAGGGTTTCGCCCCTATTTTGACTTTGGTCAAACAATCTAAAAAATAATAATAAATGTTTAATAAAAATGTGAATAATAATAATACTTTAATATTAAAAATAATGTTAACCATTTTTTTTGAAATAATAATAATATAATTAACTAATAATAATGTAAATTAAGAATTTACTGAATAAAAAAAATGAAAAACCAAAAGTCAACAGTTGACTCTGGTCAAGACTTGATGGACTAACTGGGCCTGCAATTTTTTTATGGGCCAGATGAATTCAATAGGGACAACAAAAATGCACCCCCCCTTGTTATTTTAAAACGGGCCAATCACTCCTCACCTATTGGGCTTTCCAAACGAACACCCTTTGCACAGACTTAACAAACTTAAAGATGGGCCTCTAAAAAACTTTAATGGGTCATGTTGTACCCCAAAATTTGCTCTCTCATTTCATCAACATTTTCTCATCACAAGACCTTTGAAGCTCAAGATCAAGTCAGTGATTGCTCTGCTAAAGACTCCTCCTTGCACTGCTGACTCAAATTAGGGTTTGAGTTTGCACAAAGATGCTTTGACCTAAAATTCCCAAAATAACTTTCATGCTTCATGTTGGACTCACAAGTTTATCCATACCAAGTTTCAAGCCTTGATTCCAATCTTTGCCCAGTCAATTGGACAGTTGATCTAGAAATCAGCTGTATTGGGGAAAAAGTCAACTGTAGTCAATTGACAGTCAAACCTCATGATTTTTTACCCACATCAACATTATGAACTCATATGGACCATTTGATCAAGTTTGGATCACAATTCCACAAGAAATTTGATCAGATCACCAAAAGGGCAAAATGGTCATTTTTAGGGTTTTGACTGCACAAAGGCAATTTTTGACTGTTTGACCTAGCCAATGGCAAACCAAGCTCACATATGGACTCAAGGACTCAATGGCATGGTCTTGACACATTCAACAAGTTCAAAAGATCCCAAACGCACAAGATTGACAGTTGAATTTTCCAGTCAATTGATCAATTTTTGACTATATACTGAAAAGTCAAACTTTGACTTTTTGGTCAAAATCAAGTGTCAAGATTCATTTTTCATCAAGACATGCCAAATTATGAAACTTGTTCATCAAGAAATCAAAAATTGCAAATTAGGGTTTGAAATGAAGAATTTTCATAACTTAGAAATTTTCTAAGTTATGAAAATCCCTAATTTTTTCCTAACTTTGTCCCATATTTTCATCAATATACATTTGGATTCAAACAAAAGTCAAAACATGAAAGTTGTAGTACATTTCAAAATCTACAACTTTGGTTCACAAAGTTTCCTCAAAAGAAGCTTGTAGCTCAAGTTATGATATTTGGAACAAGGGTGCAAAACATTCTTAACTTAGAGAATTTTTGACCTATATTAGGCAGGATTTTTGCCTAACTTCATGGCCACTTTTCACATGCTTCCACTTGGAATTTCAATTTGCATTACAAATATGTATTGTATTACACATTCCAAGCTTTCCAAAATGTCCAAGAACTCATCAAACAACCTCATGGTTAGGGAGAATCGAATTTGGCAATATGGGCAAAACTCACTTTGTTCATGGCCAATTTACATGTTCATAACTTGGCATTTTTGAACTCAGCATGTTATAAGCTAGATTACAGGTCCTTTATCTCATTCACACTCATAAATTTAATGCAAACCTCTTGTGTTCAAGCCTTATCTTATGTGTTTAAGCATTGCATACAAGATTGAGCCATAATTAGAAAAAGCAATATATCCATTTTGGTAAAGTTTCACTTTATGTCAAATTTGCAATCCAAGTGGTACAATGCATATCTTTGGACACAAGATTCATGGAGATATCACACTGATCAAGGCTCAAGTGTGCAACATACTTGAGGGGCCTGCACACGTCTAGAGAACCAAGTTGACATTTCTTGCTTAAGTGTGAAGTAACTTGGCATAACTTGAACCAACTCTCATTTCAGCCAACACAAGCTTAAACAAAGTTGTTGTACACCTTCCAAACAACATCACTGAGCTAAGGCACGAGCAAAACACTTTCCAAACCTCATCAAACCTCAAAACACCATTGTACTGCACAAAAACAGGGATCCCTGCAACTTAGCTTCCATAAACATTTCCCCTCGTGCGTTTTGGCTAAAACCTTTGCAAACACATTCCCTATCACCCACTGAAGCTGTCCCAAGCATTGGACACGACCTGTAACACCCCTAACACCATTTGCCATTTTCACTTTTTCTGTTTTGCAGGTTGAGTGCCATAGCTTGATTCACTTGGTTTCAAAGCAAGCTAAAGGTTGGAATAGCATCCCTGAACTTCAAGCAAGTTGTACCAATCCTCACCTTGCCTTGAAAGTGCCTCCATTGTCAGACACGATCCAAGCTGAACAGGTAAGTTCATGGACTTCTATCTCTCAATATAGGAAGAGTTAGCTCTAGGTTTATGAATGAAAAATGTTCTATTCATGGCCCTGAAGCTATACATATCTTTATTTTCCATTTATATTGCATATGCTGAGAGTATTTTGAATCTGAACATTGACAAAAGCTTAGGTTAAGAATTAGGGATGGAGAAATTCTCTCTCATTTCTGAGAGTTAAGATGAGTTTTTTATATGTATGGAATCGTGGCTTGATGCTTAACATCTTTCATGTTATAAGTTTGTGCTAAAAGTCTAGGAATCAGGAGATAGCAGGGATCACGTGTTGCTCTGTTTTGTTGTTCAGAGGTTGAAGACAACCTTTTCATGGGCTGGGCCTGAGTTGTTTTACTTTTCACACCATTGCATTTCACATGCACCCCCTGGCCCTTTTTGAGTTTTGCTTGTCATTTTCCATTTTTTTCCTTTTGATTTTGTTTCCATATTTTTATTTAAGCATGAAAAAATATTAAATTTATTTTTCCATATTTTTTGCATTTTATTTTGATATTTATTTGGCTTTATTTAGTTTTGTATATAAATAAACATGAATATACTATTATTTTAAAATACAAAAAATAATACAAACATATTTTATTTCTGATTTTTATTTTATGTCATCTCTTGAAAACATTTTATAATAAAAATATACTTTTTTAATAGTATTAATTATTTTATTTTTTGTACATATAATATGTATTTAATAAATAATGTAAATGCTTATATATTTATTAATATATTTAGGGAAAATACAAAGAATTAATATATTTTATTTTTATTAATATTTTGACCTCAAAAATATTTTTTTACAATATACCTTCTTTTATTTATTTTTTGTACATAATTAATAAATATTACATATATTAAATAATTAATACCTTTTATTGATAAAATTAGGGTTTTTACCATAAATACATAAAAATACCAAAATTACTTCATTTTATTTTTGTTTATTTGACACATAAAAAAATACTTTTTTTCATACATATAAAAAACCATTTTTTGCATCTTACACATTTATATTTTTATTCAATTATTGTATATTAATTAATTTGTAGAATTTCAATTTGGATGTAATAGTTAGAATTTATTTTCTTGTCAAAATATCCCCATTTGAACATTTGTATCCCTCATCCCATATATTGTGTTGTAATAACTTAGGACCTTTTATTTTTTGCATTTAAAAGCTTTCTAATTATGCCATGTTAGAACTAGGGTTTGTATGCAAAGTTAACCAAATAGTTTGACCTAAATTCAAGATAAACAAGCATGAAAATGGACAACACTAATCACACTTACACCCCTAGGGTTACTCCACTTGTTGCCTTCAATAATGGGCCATATTGCATGTTAGGTATCTTTGGCGAAAACAAAACAATCAAATGATCATAGTCCCTCGATGACGCTTTCGAAAGTTGCCTAAAAATGATCAAGTCCCTTAAGAAAAAAATTGCCCAAAGATACTTGGCACCATTGCAATCATGGTCTAAATAATGACCCGCACCCGTCCCGTTAACATCCTAACACAAGATTGTCCACCAAATACAATGGTGGAACAAAATTGTTAAAAGGGTTAAAACATAGGAAAAACCTTTGAGTAAATTTAGGGGTAGACAACTCTTGGTTACTTGACCAATCTTGCAAAACAATCCTTGCCATTTTTCAAAACACACATCACAACACACTTTCAAAACAACTTTCAAAAACATTGAAAACTTTTCAAAAGACAAGTACACCTTTGTATACATTCAAACATGGATCATTACAAAGGTTGCCACCACATTGGCCTCTTTTCAAGACATTTTCAAAACCCACACACAAAGCACCATTTCAAACAATTGAAAGCACCATTTCAAACAATTGAAAATCAAGGCAAGTTGATCTAAGCAAGTAACTAAGAGCCCATGGATAACCATGGATAGAAAGGGTGCTAACACCTTCCCTTTCTATAATCTACTCCCCGAACCCAAGAAAACATCTCAAAGGTTTTTGCTGTGCTTTTTAACCTTTCCTTAGGATAAAATAAAAAGTCGGTGGCGACTCTTGCTCAACCGAAACATTTGCGAAAACAAACGCAAAACCTCAAGTCAG